TTGGAGCCACATAATAGGCCCTGGATGGGGGCTGGGTGGGATCATAATGGGTCACAGAGGGGAGTGTCGGGGCCCCGTCCCCCCATCCTTCCTTCCCCCCAGGCCTCCTCTTCAATGACCTCTACTGTGCCTCCAAGTTTGCGGTCGAGGGCTTCTGTGAGAGCCTGGCCTTGCAAGCCCTGAAATTTGGGGTGCAGTGAGTAGCTGTGGGGAGTGGGGGGTTCCCCAACCTGGGCATGGTGGGAGTAGGAAGGGGGGCAGGTGGTCAGTTTGGGTGTGGGATCCCCAGAGGTGGCTGCAACTGGGACCAGTAGTGGGGGTGGACGGAGGCATCAGTATGGCCCTGCCTGTGTGGCACAGGGAAGTCTACTGCGGGGGGGAGGCCACATGGGGTGTGCCTGGGGGGCCAGGAGGTAGGGGTCTGGGGCCCATACTGGGGGGTTTGGAAGGATCCTGCTTCAGTGGTGTTGGGGGCCACACCATGAGCTGGGGGGGTCTCATATAGCAGGCTACAAGGTGAAGGATCATGTCATTGACCATGTGAGGGGGGGCTAGAGGGCCACACAATGACTCAGGGAAGTCAGGGGGTTCCCAGGTCATAGCCCACAGGGTGGAGGCTCTGGGGGAATTCCTGGCTGCCCCACATCTGCCCTCCTGCCCACCCCCCAGCATCAGCCTGATTGAGCCAGGGCCGGTGGCCACGGAGTTTGAGCGGAAGTTGTATGAGGAGGCGGCCACCCTGGACTTGTCCGGCCTGGACCCTGAGACGCGGGAGCTCTTCCAGGGCTTCTACCTGCCCTACTCTCGGGAGGTTTTTGCCGCCCTGGCCCAGTCGCCGGCAGAGGTGGCCGAGGTAGGAACTCCCCTTGCCCACAAATCCTCCATTTTCTGGGGTGCTGGCTGCCCACCCAGACTGGGCATGACTCAGCACCCTCCACCCTAAAAGAAGGGGGGGGAGCGGGGGGGGGACACGGGTATGTCTCTGCTGTGACCCCTCCAAGCCATGGGGGGAGAGGGCAGGACCATCACCCAGGTCTCCCCAAGCAGGATAGGCCCTAAATCTACCCGTCAGGCTGCCCGGAGCTGGGGTTTCTTGCAGCAGCTTTCTGGAACATGCCCTGCTGTAAGATTTTTTTTTCTGGGGGGCATGTCCAGTGCCTTTGTTAATATCACTTGGATGCTGCCCCCCTCCCCAGTGTTTTGGGGGTTCAAGGGCAGACTGGGGGGGGTCCAGGGTCCTTGTTATGTTCAAACCTGTTGACCTGCTTCCCCTGATTTTGGGAGTTCAGGGGGTGGGTCCAGCTGTGGGTGCCTGTCTGGGGGGGGTGGAGAGAGTTTCACTGACTTCCCCCCCCTCCCCCAGCACTTTGGGGGTTCAGGGTCTGGCAGGAGGCGGGGTCTGGCTATTGGGGGTATCGGGGACTCTGGAAAATCTGAGATCCACTGACTTTGCTCCTCCCTCAGCACTTTGGGGGTTCAGGGTGGGGGGGTATGTCTGCAGCCCTAGTTGGTTTCAGATCCAGACCCCCCCACCCCCCTAGCATGTTGAGGATTTAGGACTCGGCCAGGGGGGAGCTCTGTGTGTCCTCAGCCCTGGTCAGTCCAGGATCCTGCCCCAACACAATGCTTTGCGGGGGGGGGGTCAAGGTTGGGGGTGGGGTGGGAACTGGATCCAGACTTGGGGGTATGTCTGCAGCTCTGGTCAGTTTCAGACCCACTGGATCCCTGTCGCCCCCCCCGGGGTTCAGGGTCTGGCTGGAGCGTGGGTCTGTGTGTCCTCAGGCCTGGTCAGTCTCTACCCCTCTCCCTTGGCCTTTTGGGGGTTCAAGATCCAGCCATAGGCTTCAGATCCAGACCCCACCCCCGCCATGGCACTTCAGGGGTTCAGGATCCAGCCGTGGAAGCGTCTGTCCAGGGTCTTGCTCAGTCTCAGACCCACTGACTCCACTCCCCCCC